CGGGTGAGGGGCAGGACCAAGTTTTCTGTAACCATATATTTACCTGCCCAGGAGAGGTGCTTGCTGCAGAAGCCACTACTGTGAGGCCGGAGCCACACTGGGGAGGCAGAGAGGCCCAGCTGACACCAAACCCACAGTGCTCGTGCAAAGACTGACCGGACTTCCTGTCCTGGCCACCAGCCCCAGGGGGTCTGGACGGAAGTTCCAGCTCCTCAGCTCAGAGCCAAGTCTTCAGGGCTCCCTGCTTAAAGAACATGCCAGGTCTATATCCCTTCCCCCTCACCCCCCAGCGCCTGGCTGGGCAGCAGCAAAGCAACAGTCACTTCAGGCCTCACTGAACCACTCGCCCTGCCCACCTCACTTCTGATGACGGTTCTGAATGGGCAATGCCCTCTCTGCAGCTAGGTCTTCCCAGCATCCCTCTGAGCTCTGCATTTTGACCACAGATCAGCGCCTACCCCCAAAACGGGTCTGCTTGCCATCAGGTAGCGCCCATTACTGTCCTGCAGAACGCGTGTTCCTTTGGCCAAAGCAGTGGTTAAAAGCAGGCACACTCTGTGTAAACACATAATTTCCTCTGGAAAACTGTCCTTTCACCTTACCAAAAACTACCACAAGACTTGTAAGTTTTTGTCCAGTTTGGAGCATTACAATTTTTATACAAGTTTTTCCCCATAAATGGGGGGTGGGTGGGTAGGAGGGCCTGGCTGGCAGGCACATGCCACTGCACCCAGGTTGCTGGGCCGGGTACCCTGCAGTGGCGTCCTCCTGCTCGTGCCACTCAGGCTAGGCCTCCGTCCTATTTCTAGTCTCACTAGCTTTTAAAGCAATTTCACTAGACCTGAAACTTCCAGTACATTCTCCTAATGTAGACGGTGCTTCCCAAATCTAGGACTGCTACCATCCTGAGGAGCTAAAAAGAATCCAAAAATTGAGACGAGCATTAAATATTATGTAAGGTTTTCTTTTATTTAAAAGATCATTCACAAAATACCATATCCATAGATTTACTTTCTGTCATAGAGCTGAATGTGTTAAGTGTTTGGAATTCCATTCTTACATTTAAAAGTCAACTGGACTGCCCAGAAGTTTAGATGAATTTGCGTTGTTCTTTATCTTTTCCACATTGAAGATGTAAGTAGGTCATCTGAAAGCATCAGGTTTGATTACAACCACATAATGCATGTCTTTCTTAAGTTAAGTATTGGTGTTACACAAATGGTTCTTATTTCAGAAGCAGAGAAGATGGCAGGTGGAGGGAGGGAAGGGAGGAGAGTTCTGTAAACTGCTGAGACCTCGTGACGAAGACAGAGCAAGAGAAGCCGCGACCGACTACCTACGCACACTGCCCGGCACCAGGCATCCCGGCGAGGGTCCCTCCCTCAGTCGAGCTGCTGGCTGACCCCAACTGCTCCAAAAGGACAGGCTGGGGCTCTGGTGCTACAGAATTTTCCATTTGCTCACACAAAGGTGTTCGAGCTCAAAAGTTACTTACTGCCTAACCCCTCACCCCTCGCTCCCAGGTAAGTGCTCAACACCGTACACGGGAATGAAGAGCTCTGTCCTCAAGACGAGGCGGCAAACCTAAAATTCTTGTCATCTACAGTTATGCCGAGGGTCCTGACAACTCTGCATAGTGTACATTTTCAGTTGATCAAGTGACATTGAATAAAGTGCCAGATCCCAGGCCCGTTTCACTATGAATCTGAGGGGCAGTGGGAAGCACAGTATCTCGTTGTCACTTACACTAGGGAACAGATAAGCACAAGGCAGAGATGCAGGACACACACAGGGGACTGGGGAAAGCAAGGTCTACGCTCTAAAGCTAGCCCTGCACAGCTCTAGCGCCACCGCCCCTCCAACCCCCGGCACCTAGCCCAGCAAGAAAGGAACGAGTTGGCAGTCTGCTGCCCCTGCCAGAGAGGAGCCTCCACCATACTCGGCCCCAGGAGCGAATGCATTTGGAGCCCATTTGGAAAGCGATCCCCAAATGCATGGACACCAGGGGCCTCCAGAGCATTCCATGTATCTCCCACGTGGGCGCCACCAACCTGCCACATTCCTCTTCCTGCTGGCTC